CCCTTGCTTACCAGCTGGGAATGTTATCTCATGGTTTCACCTCCAGTGTTTAAACAGAAACAAAAAAGGCAGACACCAAAAACATACACTCAAAGTCCAGCCAATGACCTAGGGTTTTGCAACAAAAGCAAGTAAACACAGGCAGCTACACAAACAGGATGAGGAGTTGTTTGTGATCACACCTGGTGTTTTCAGAATGTGGTGAGATGACAGCAAACAGGCACAGGGTAGACTTTCAAACAAAGACACCTATTTGTCAAGATAGTATGTACAAAATCCATTTCCCATGTGGCAAAGTCAACTCAAGTCCTTACCTCCCTAATTGAGAAACTGCCTGGAGTTTACCGAGGACGGTGTACACAATCAGTACTCACCAGTTAGACGAGGCCTGTCATTCTTTCTTTACTCTTTAGGTACATAAAAGTCTAATATGCAGGACTTTTTTGAAAATAATAATATTTTTTAAAAACACCCTGAAACTCAGCTCCTAAAACAGGATTAATAAGGAAACTAAAATATACAAAGGAGTGATGTGATGGCCCAGCCTTCAGAAATTGGGTTCTAGTTTCACTTACAGTAAGTATCAGCCCCAGAAGTCAAATGTAAATGACAGCATCACTTTTGTTTTAAAACAAAAACAAGCATTTTTGTGGCCAGGAGTTCCGATGACAGGACTCACACACCCAGAGGACTCAGATGCCTCCCTCTTGGCCCTGACCTGTGCAGGAGCACATGCCTGCTCATACCTGCAGGTCTCCAGACCCCACTGCTGTGGAGCTGTGGGAGATGTCATCACTCACAGGGTGGGTGAGCTTTAGGGGAAGACGGCTGGAGGTGCTTGCTCCTTGGGTGGACTTCTGAAGGTGGCCTTATATTTGTTTTTTTTTTTTTAATTTCTTTTATGAGCAGAAAAATATACTTAAATAACTTAAAAGAAAATATTGTTAATGAGAATATAATTCTTTAATGCTGGCTGTTAGGCACCTCCCAGCAAAACAGAAATCGATAGTTAATGTAATTAATGGGCATTTGACAGTACTTGCTTTTGGCCACTTTCCCAGGATGAGGACTACATAGGTAATTCACGCAGTCACCCACAGCGTCATAGGCTCCCTCAGGCAACTCTGAATGTGGTTAGTGACTGCAGTCTGCATGGAGCTCCATGGCCTTTGCAGGGGTCACCCCACAGGACCCCACTTGTATCCAGACCACGGGAAGGTAGCTGGGCGTCTTTCCCGAGCTCCATCTGCTTCCCCCAGCCCGAGGCTTCCACTTCCTTCACTATAATAATAACACCCTTCACTGTACCTGCACAGGAAGGATGGTGAGAAGACTCTTCTCTGCAAGGCTAATACATCCACAAGTAAATGTGGATTAGTAACAGGATAACATTTAGAGCTCCCAAAGCCCTAAACTAATTTTAAAGTACACAATCACTCATTTCTCTTCCGTTAAGTCTCCAAAACTGTCCACGAGAGGAATACCAGGATGTCAAAACACTACTGAGCAGGGCTGTTTTTACAGGTGACCTTGTGAAGAGAAATTCCTGGAGGGCACTGGCTTTGAGGTTTCACTCCATGGGTCTCAGGAGAAGTCAGCACACAGTTCCCACAAACACTTTGTTCCCACGTACACTTCACAACACAGAAACACCCCATTTTCATTCACGTGGCGCCATCCCAAACAGGGACTGCCTGCAGGGGGAAGGCAGTTTAATGCCTCTGCCACAGAACAGACCACATCAGCCAGGCGGTCTTTCACCCTGTGTGCCTCTGTGTACAGATGCTGAGCTGACGGCAAGTGGGGACACCCTGTGCTCCCTCTGCTGCACTGACAAGTGGGGACACACTGTGCTCCCTCTGCC